ATTTTTTGTTTTTTTTTTAAATTTTATTTTCTTTAAAAATATATTTTTATTGATTTCAGAGAGGAAGGGGGATGGAGAGATTGATAGAAACATCTGTGATGAGAGAGAATCATTGATCGGCTTCCTCCTGCACATCCCCCAATGGGGATCAAGCCCACAACCCAGGCATGTGCCCCTGACCAGAATCGAACCCGGGATCCCTCAGTCCACAGGCCAACGCTCTATCCACTGAGCCAAATCAGCTAGGGCAAGATGGCAAACTTTATGATATATATATATCTCCAATATTATAAACCTAATCAACAAACAAAAAGCCTCACCCTTTTTCTTTACCTGAAGAACTTACTTTAGTATTTGTATAGGAAAAGTCTACTGGAATCAAGTCTGTTTGCTTATTTTATACACAAATATGATTTACTTTATTTAAATAATCACCTGAGAGTTTCAGTCAAGATGGTGGCACAGGTAAACTCGGCACTCGCCTCCTCCCACAACAACATAGAAATTACAACTAAAATACAGAACAATCATCATTCAGAACCACCTGAAATCTGGCTGAAAGGAATTCCTACAACTAGGGAATTCAAGAAGATGCACATTGAGACTGATAGGAGGGGAAGAGATGCAGGGCAGACTCTCAGGACCAGCTGGTTTCACACCCACATGTGTTGGTTTAAAATCAGGAGGGATATCTTGACTGTGGAGGTTTCCCTGAGGAGCAAGGGTATCAAGTCCGCACAACTTCTGGCTCAAAAAACCAGCCGGGATTGTGGCTGAGTGACACAGAGGCTGCTGGAGCCCCAGGCAGCTCCTCATAAAGGGCCTGAGCATGGTCTTACTCAGACTCACTCCATCTGAGCCCTAGCACTTGGGTCATCGCTTAAAAGGAACTTGGGACATTTAGGAGGAACTAACTTATGTGGAATCTAGGACAGAGCTGGAGGAGCAGCTTTCTCCCAGACAGAAGTGCTGATAGAGGCCATTGTTCCATTGCTGAGCCCTGAGAGAGAGAGAGATATGTGAGAGAGGAACATCAATCGGTTGCTTCCTACATGCCCATACAGGGGATGGGACCTGCAACCTAGTTATGTGCCGTGACAGGGAATTTAACCAACAACTTTCTGGTGTAAGGCATGATGCTCCAGCCAACAGTGCCACCTGGCCAGGCTCCACAGTTAAGCTGATACCCTTTGATTGCCTCTTTATAGGAGATTAATTCTGTCACATAGTAATAAATGTTAATATTATATTAGGTATTAATTACTAGAATATTATATTTATACTAGAGACCTGGTGCACGAAATTTGGGCATGTGTAGGGTCCCTAGGCCTGGCGGTGATCAGGGCCAATTGGGGGCTTCCCGCTGCCAGCCAGGGCCTTCGTTTGTTCCACACCGCCACCTGGTGGTCAGTGCACGTTCCAATGAGCAATCGAACTCCCAATCTCCTGGTCAACTTCCAAGGGAACACCTTGCATATTAGCCTTTTATATATATAGATAATACAGAGAATAGAGAGAGAATTCAGTGTTCCCTTCAGCATGGATGATTGACATTTCTTTTTCTCCTGTACAACTAAAGAAACGTTTCTTTCAATCACACAATTTGTTACTGGGAATGTCTGAAGTTTCACATCACTGTCATATTTGGGAAAACATTGATCAAGTTTCTTTCTTTCATAAAACAGCAGTAGGATTGCAAGTCATGTCCACACATTACTTGAGCACTTGCTGGGCTTTGAAACGGGATGGAGCAAATGAGAGGCCTGAAGGTGGCACTTCCTGAGCTGTAGGTGGCAAATTGGCTGCTGTGTTGAGGCCCCGCCTCTGGGTCCCTCCCAATGGGGCGAGATCTCCCTTCACACATCGCCTTCTGATGGGGCCTGTGTGCTGTCACTGTCCCAGGTTCCTCAGACCCTGGAAGACCCACACGTGTGCCTCCCATGTCCCCACAAAGCTCTCAAAGCAAAGGGATTGAATGCTCAACTTTTCCCTGGGGTTCCACCCCCCAACTGGAATTGAGTCTAAATTCCTTTTTCTCTTGCCAGCACTTGAGTTGTCTAAAGAAAATTTAGAGAGAACCTTGATGCTGATCAACTGAATGCTGCCTCCGTGTCCTTCATTCTTCGCCGACTCCGTCCACACCTTTGGGAACCCCTGGACCTGCTGGGGCTGGACCCCAACACACAGAGAAGAAGGCCATATGAAGATTGAGGTAGAGAGTAGAGTGATGCCACCACAAACCAAAGAAGAACAAAGATAGCTGGGAGCCACAGGAACTAGGAAGAGGCAAGGAAAGATTCTTCCTAGAGTCTTGAGAAGAAATATAGCGAGTGTTTTTGGACTTATGGCCTCCAGAACTATGAGAAAATAACTGTCTGTTATTTTAAGCCACTGGTTTGTGATACTTAGTTTGCCCTAGGAAACTAAGACAGTTAAACCTCACTTCTCTAACGCCTCCCATCTCAAACAATGTGGTTCTTGACCAAGATGTTCACAGGAAAAATGTCTAGGTTGTGGAACCAAACTTCAACCCTTCCAACATGACAAAAAGTATATTTCAGTCAACAAAGGAGAGAATGATTTTGTTGCTGGCTAAATCAACAATTAGGACAATTTTAAAACATAAAGAGGCCATCAGAGTGCTAATGTTGCTAATGGTGTGAGAGAAACAATCATCACAGACAATTGAAGAGGTAGAAAAACTGTTGTTGGTTTGGATAAATAGCCAGTGATAGCTACTTCAGAGGTAGTGATATATGAACAAGCAAAATGCTGCATGCTGACCTGAAAGACATCCCTGGACCGAATGCTAAAAGTGATTCATTTAAGGCTAGTAGGGGATGGTTCGATAAATGTAGCAACAAAAAAAAAGTATTTATAGATTAAACAGTACATTAGACATATACATATACTGTATATAATAAAGCTTAAAACAAAATTAAAAAAAGAAAATTTAAAATGATCCTTTTCTAGACCCATCAGTGGTTTCAGCCTAAGGGTGGGTCTCCCCCAAGTCCAGCTCTGACCCCAGTGGCCCCTGGGTGACCTCCCTCTCCACTTACACATCATCTGCAAGGTGATTACTTTCAGATTCACATCTGGACACGCCTCTCAACCTCTGGGGGCCTCAGCATATCCACTGGCAGGGTTGGGTAGGGTGGGGGAGGGAGACAGGATGATTTCTCAGCCACCCCCCCCCACGTCTTGTGGAGGCCAAGTTCCCCTTCCACTCTGGCCACAGTCTCTCCCCCAGAGCTTCCTGTTAGGGTGTCCTAGGCTCCACCCCAGAGCTGGGCACTTCCCTCCCTGACACAGGGACCTGGACCCGCTCTGCCCTGCCAGAGGCAGACATGGTGCCCCTGCTGCTGCTGCCCCTGCTGTGGGGGGGTGAGTGGCTGAGGGAGGGGGGCTGGGCAGGTGGGGGATCAGCAGGGGCTGCCACTGAGCCTCTGTCCCCCTCCCAGGGTCCCTGCAGCAGCAGCCAGGCTACACGTATGAGCTCCGAGTGCAGGAATCGGTGACGGTGCAGGAGGGTCTGTGTGTCCATGTGCCCTGCTCCTTCTCCTACCCGTGGAGTTCGTGGTCTTCCTCTACCAAAGTCTACACCTACTGGTACCGGGACAGAGATGACACAAATCGTAATGCTCCTGTGGCCACGAGCAATCAGAATAAACAAGTGAAGAGAGAGACACAAGGCCGATTCTTCCTCGCGAACCCCACGACCAACAACTGTTCCCTGCAAATCAGAGACGCCAGGAGGAGTGACGCAGGATGCTACTTCTTCCGAGTGGAGATAGGAAATCCTGCATATAATATCCTAGGACATTTCCAAGGATATAAGTTCCAAGGATATAATTACCAAGATAAAATGCTGGATTTACAGGTGACAGGTACGGCAGGGGCCCCGGAGAGGACCCAGGGAAATGGGACCCCGTCTTAGAGCAAGTACAAGACACTGGACACTCCCTGTCCAGGCCTTGAGCCCTGGTTGGTTGGAAAATCACAGGGCCTGGGGAGCTCAGGGGCCCTGAGGCACGAGTCCCACTCAGGATCACACTTTGGGTCCCCACCCCCTGGAGACCAGGCACCTGCCTTTCTCCCCCGCAACCCTGACAGAGAAACCGCACATCCGTATTCGGGAGCCGTTGGAGTCTCACCGCACACCACAGCTGGCCTGCAGCCTGCCAGGGGCCTGCGAAGGGGGACGACCTCTCACCTTCTCCTGGGCGGGAGCGGCTGTGGACTCGCTGGACCCCCAGACCCTCCGCTCCTCGGTGCTCACCTTCACCCCGAGGCCCCGGGACCATGGCACCAGCCTCACCTGTCAGGTGAAACGGGAATGGCCTCAGTTGACCACACAGAGAACCATCCGGCTCAATGTCTCCTGTGAGTGTTTGATGGATGGCTGCGTCCCTAGAGGTAGGAGGCTTGTGTGTGTGTGTGTGTGTGTGTGTGTGTGTGTGTGTGTGTGTGTCTGTGCAGGAGGCTGAGCTAACCTGAGAACACCCGGGCATGGATCTTCGGGTAGGTGGGGAGGGGGCAGAAGGACAGTTCTCCCTCCTTCCCGGTTCCCTCCACCCCTCCTTGGAATTGGGGTGACTTTCATCTGAAGTGGGGCCCTGTCTTTCTCTCCCAGATGCCCCAGGGAACCTCACCATAGGCATCTCCTTCAGAAATGCCACAGGTAAGTAAGAACCCCTCTTCTCTGGGCGGGGACCTGCCCTGGGGCCCTGGTGGGGCAGAGGGGGGAGCGGGAGTTTGAATGGGATGAGACATGGGAAGGGCAGGGATGAAAGTCATCACCCCAGTTCCTCATCTCTGGTGGGTGGGTGCCTGCATCTGTGCTCCACACATCTCTCTCTCTCTCTCTCTCTCTCTCTCTCTCTCTCTCTCTCTCTCCCTCAAAACCCTTCCCCCCAAAGCCTTTAAGAATCTGCAAACCACATCCCTTTCCATCCTGGAGGGAGAGGCCCTGAGGCTGCGCTGTGAGGTTGACAGCAACCCCCCTGCCGAGCTGAGCTGGTTCCGGGGGTCCCCAGGCCTGAACGCCACCCCCATCTCCAGCACCGCGATCCTGGAGCTGCCTCGCGTGGGGCCTGCACAGGAAGGAGAGTTCACCTGCCAAGCTCTGCACCCGCTGGGCCCCCAAAGGGTCTCTCTCAACCTCTCTGTGGTCTGTGAGTGGGGAGACCCCAGGGGGCCGGACAGCTGGGTTCTGGGGAGATTAGAGGCACTGCTGACTCTTCCCCTCGCTCCCCACAGACCCCCCGCAGCTGCTGGGACCCTCCTGCTCCTGGGAGGACCAGGGTCTGCTCTGCAGCTGCTCCTCCAGGGCCCAGCCGGCCCCCCTGCGCTGCTGGCGGCTGGGGGCGGGGCTGCTGGAGGGGAACCATGGCAACACCACCCACATGGTCACCTCCAGCTCAGAGGGGCCCTGGACCAACAGCTCCCTGAGCCTCAAGGAGGGGCCCAGTGAGGGACTCAGACTCAGCTGCGAGGCCCAGAATGTGCACGGGGCCCAGGACGCCTCTGTCCTGCTGCTGCCAGGTCAGGGCCTGCTGGGGGCAGAGGCCACGGAGAAAGGAGTGGGTCAGAGAGAAGATAGAGCTGGGGGAGTGGAGGGGGCTGTGGCCTGGACAGGGGGGATTGCTAGGACAGGGCCTGCATCTCCTGCCTGAACAGACCTACAGTGCGTTCTGCGAGGAGGTGGGAAGAGGAGAGACTGAGTCCGGCGAGTGGGTGTCTCACCACCCTCTCCTCTGCAGGGAAGGCTGTGCCCCAGGCGGGAGTGGTTCCTGCGGCTCTTGGAGGTGCTGGTGCCATGGCCCTGCTGTTTCTGTGTTTGTGTCTCCTCTCCTTTTGCATGTGAGCCTCTGTGGCAGGGAGGTGCAGGGCTGAGTACATCCAGAGGGGACTGTTTTGGGAGGGCCGAGGGGGTAGCAGCTTTATTGAGGTAAAATTCCCATATATTTAAAGTGTACAATTCAATGGCTTTTCTCTCACTCACACAGCTGTGCACCCATCACCACAGACAATTTAAACATGTCTCATTTGCTTGAAATAATAATAATAATAATAATAATAAAACAAGCAAAAGAAACCCACATCCCCTGTTAGTTTGTTTCCATCCTCTCCAGCCCTAGGCATCTACTAACTGCTTCCTGTCTCTTCTGGACATTTCATATAAATGGAATCACACAAAACATGGTCCTTTGTGACTGACTTCTTTCACTTAGCACGATATTTTCTTTAATTATTATAATAATTATTTTGTTTGTTAATCCTCATCCAAGAATATGTTTCCATTGATTTTTAGAGAGAGTGGAAGGAAGAGAGGAAGAGAGAGAGAGAGAAACATCGATGTCAGAGAGACACATTCATAGATTCCTTTTTTACCAGCCCCAACCAGAGATGGGGATTGAACCTGCAACCCAGGTCCATGTCCTTGACCATGAATTGAACCTGTGAACTTCAGTGTGCAGGCTGACACTATAACCACTGAGCCACTGGCCAGGGGCATGACATTTTCAAGGTTCTTGTGTCAGCACTGTATTGCTTTTTATTTACAAATAATATTCCGTGGTATGGATGGGGCATGTTTGATTTGTCCGTTCATTCATTGATGGACATTTGGGTTGCTTGGACTTTTTAGCTACCATGAATTACATTGATGATGGCTGCAGAGGCCACCTACAGGATGGGAGAGAAGATGTATCTGTGAGGAGTTAATATTCAGAATATATTACAAACTCATACGAGGCAACATAAGAAACCCAAATAACACAACTGAAGCATTGGGCGAAAAACTTGAGTCGATATTTCTCCAAAGATGATATACTAATAGCCAACAAACTTACGAAAAGATATTCAACATCAGGAATCCTAAAGAAGTACAAATCAAAGCCCTTGCTGGGTAGCTCAGTTGGTTAGAGTGTCTTCCAGTTGGCTGTTTGTACCTTTCCAGGGCACATACAACAATCAACCAATGAACGCATATGTGATAACTATAATGAGATATCACCTCACATCCTTTAGGACGGCTACTATAAAGTAAGACCAACAGCCCAGCTGGTGGCTCAATGTTTAAGCATGGACCGATGAACCAGGAGATCATTTTTAGATTCTCAGTGAGGGCACATGCCCAGGTAGCAGGATCGATCCCCGTAAGGGGCATGAGGAAGGAAGCCAAATAATGATTCTCTCTCATCATTGATGTTTCTATCTCTCTCTACCTCTCCCTTCTCCTCTTAAATAAAAAAGTATGTTTTTTAGAAACCAGCAGGAGATAATAACAAGTGCTGGTGAGGATGTGCAATAATTGAAACCGTTTTTGCACATTTGGTGGGATTGTAAAAAGATGTACCAGCTATGGAAAACAATATGGCAGTCCCTCAAAAAAAAATAAAAAATAGAACTACCATGACATGTAACAACTCCTCTTGAGGTTATATATCCAAAAGTATTGAAAGCAGGACCTTGGGGCCATGTCTGCCTTATTCCTCTCTGACTCCCTTCTCGCCCCTCCACTCAGGGTTCCCAGGAAAGGCTAGGGCCAGACAGGCCTCCAGACCAAGCGCCCCCCGCCAAGGATGCCCCTCCCTCCGGGGAACAACAAGAGGTCTACTACGCCAACCTCAGCTTTTATGAGATGAAGACACGGGAGCCTCAGAACCTGGAGGCCACCGGCAGCCCTGAGTACTCAGAGATCAAGCGTGCAGGCAAATGAGGACTCGCTCAGAGCAGTTTAATTGACTTTTCAGGAGCAACCATGGAAAGCAGAAGAAAGCAGATACGATCTTTAAATGTCACTTTATAATTTATACTCAGCAGAGAGAATTCAAAAATGAGGAAGTAATACAGATATTTTGGAACAAATAAATGGGGAAATTATTGCCTGTAGAATAAAAATATAGATATAAATTCTCAACAGTAATAACGGCTAAGCCCAAAGTAGCTGTGGTGGGGAATATGTAATATGTACATTTCCTAATATGTACATATTACCTAGGAGGAGAGAGAAGTGTTCATTTACTAAAACGTTGGTAAGTTAATTATGATGCTGAAATTTTTATGGTAGTGACTGTACATAATAAAATAAGAATGTATAAGTTACAAACTAGAACTAGTTTTAAATATATATAATTTATTTCAGAGAGGAAGGGAGAGGAAGGGAGAAACATCAATGATGAGAGAGAATCATCATGGCACAACCTGTCTTGCCCTGAAATAGTGAGGGGAGGTGTGGCTAGGGTTGAGTCAATGATGAAGAGACATGAGTCCTGGCAGAAATGGGGCCGTCCAGGTCCCCAAAGCTCCTCCCTATCCTCACAACAGCCCCGAGGTCACCTCAGAGGAATGGTGTTCTGTCCCATTATACAGCTGAAGAAACTGAGGCTCCACAGAATGTTCTGGTTCACTCTGAAGGCAGTGTCAAATCTGCTTTACTCACTTGTTAAAGTTGATTTTTAGTGAGAGAGAGAGAGGAAGAGAAACATCAGTGTGAGAGGGAAACATCAATTGGCTGCCTCCTGCATCCACCCTGATGGGATTTCCGCAATCTAGGTAAGTGCTCTGACAGGAAATAGAACCCACAACCTTTTTGTGTAGATGAAGAGTCATTGTTAAATAGCTAAAGGGTTTCAGTTTTGCGGATGAAAATGTCCTGGAGAATGTTTGCACGCAATGTCAATATTCTTAACAGTACTGAACTGTAAACTTAAGAATAGTTAAGATGGCAAATTTTTTTAGATATATCTTTATTGATTTCAGAGAGTAAGGGAGAGTGAAAGAGAGACAGAAACATCAATGATGAGAGAGAATCATTGATTGGATGCTTCCTGCACGTCCCCCAATGGGGATCAAGCCCGCACCCCAGGCATGTGCCTCTGACTAGAATCGAACCCAGGGCCCCCTAGTCCGCAGGCCAATGCTCTATCCACTGAGCCAAACCAGCTAGGGCAAGATGGCAAATTTTATTATATATATACACACACACACACACACACACACACACATATATAT